TGCTTCTGCCAGATGCCTGGAGCCAATTAAAGTTAGCTCTTAACTTTCCTAGACTATGCAAGTAATGTTAACTCGAACCCCATTCTCACCTGAGAGCAAAATGTAGGGTCTCAAAGGGAGAATTCTTTTTTTTCCTATTCCATATGCCAATCCCAAATACACATGCGCTCTTTTTATTTTCTTTCCTGATTATTTTTTCTGGTCCTATTTATCAGTGATGGTGAAGGGACCTAGTTTCAACCCATGGTCTTGCTGGGTCCTAAGGCCTTGACTCCTGGTGTCTTCAAGACAATAAAAATCCAAGGGTGTAGGATACAGGGAGCTGGAAATATCCTCAAGTCAGTCACTATTTTGGACAGTGAGAAAAAGCAATAGAACTATTTGAAAAAATAAAGAAATAAAAATACCTTTAATTAATCATGGATTATTAATACGAATGACCTGAATTTAAAATATGCATGTTTATGTGTGTGTGTGTGCATGCATTTGGGAAATAATTTTTGATAAATCTTTGTTCCCTTCTTGTGGTACCAAGAATCACATGGACACTACTTTTCTATTCAATTGATAGTGCTCAAAAGATTCAGAGACCTAAAAAATTGTTTTCAAGGTCAAATCAAATTGGAGGCAATCGTTCTTTATTCCATTTATAAGACCTAGGTAACTTGTCTTGGTAAAGCTAGTACTAAAAATGCCTATTTAAAGACAGGTAGTTAGAAAACCATACAGAACTCATTTTTGACTGTCAAAACCAAAATTATTTGTAAGCCATAGATACATACAGCCTTGTAGGCTGACACCTCACTTTACTGTTAAATCACCTAAAAGATTATCTTGTCTTTCTTTTATGTGAATTCAAGAGCACATAGCTATTTAAAATTCCTTCTCTAGAGAAATTCTATTAGGAGTATTATATTTCTTTGGCAGTCCTAAAAGGAACCAGCCCAATATTTTAGCATCATATTTTATAAAGCTACTTGGTTTATTCTATAAAAAGTTAGATTAAAACCAGAGAAATAGAATATGTGGTATGTATATGGAATTAATTTTTACCAAGGGTACTACAGCTCAAAGTGTTCTTTCAAACTTTGCCTGATAGCTAGGTAAACCACCCTGTTTTAGCATTGCAACATTCAAATATTCCAAAGACTACCAGGTGAAAACACAAATAGATAGATTGTGCTTTCACCTACTACCAATGCATATTTAAATATGCACAAATAGATAGTGTTTTCCCATGTGAGTTTTAGAGTGTCCCAGATGGGCATAAGAATGAAAGAAAAAAAGATTCACTGTACCATTAAAAATAGTCTATACTCACAGCACAACTGTGTGGAAAGAAAATTATTGAAGCGTGATTCAGGTAATTTGAAGAGACTGATGCTAATAGATAGCAGAGACTGAACATATTCTGAATTATAAAAGGAAAGAAAATAATGGACAAAGGAAGACAAAAGCAATAATAGCTACCATTTATTGGATTCTAACTATACATCAGAACTATATTCAGGACTTTACTTAAAAACAATCACAACTTACAAGTGAATTCATTTATCAGGTGTTTAATATATGCCCCTTTAATTCTGAGAAAAACTTTCTGAGTTAGGAACTCTTATTTGCTCAGTTTCTTAAAGTGGGGAAACTGACACTAAAAGTTTCACCAACTTGGTCCAGCCAGTGGCATGGTGGTAAGGCAGCTGGGTCCCACATGGTCAATTGCACATGCCAAGTGCATGTGTGTGCACGTGTGTACACACGTGCACATACGTGTGCAAATGCTCGAAATCCTGAAAGATGAATAGAGGAGAAGGGATTACAGCATGACCATGCACCATGGTGGGGGGGTGCTTTCTCACTTTCCATCTCTGTTTTTCTCTGGTGAACACATGGGCCCTCTCCTAAATTTTTAAAAACTGTTTCATCAACTTGCTCAAGATCACATGAATATGAAAACATGAAGTCTGATACGGAAACCAAGAAAGACTGACTCCAGAGACTATACTGCATCACAACCTCTTCATTTTATTTTCCTCTTACTACTAACCTCATCTCAACCCAGTTAAAGTATGTTTTATTCATCCCATTTTAAAGAAAGTTGGAAATGCTCGGTAACTTTCTTGAAACTCTTGTAATAGCATCAAGATAAAAAATGGTTTAGTCTGTTTCCAGAATCTAAGCATACTACGTTTCACTATATTATTCTGCCTTCGTGGCAGTATTTTTCATTTTTCAATAACTCATTCATTTAACAAATATTTGTTAGGCCCTATATATGTCTAGGCTCTGAGAATCCTCTAGTGAGCAAGAAAGCCAACTTCTAAAGGTTACATTCTAGTTGGGGAAGATAAACAATAAACAAATAAACCCATAAATGTATGTCAAGTGTTAATAGGTGCAGTAAAGAGAATAAAGCATTGTAAGTGGTTAGAAAATGATGGAATGAAGAGTGTGTTTAAATTTTTTAGATAAGATGGTCAATGTAAGAAAACGTCCTGCTGTCACTGGCACTTTTACGATGCTGTCCTTTTCTATTATAAGTATCTTGACTCCTTGGTTTATATGACATTGAAACTCAATCCAGGTTTTATATCATTCTTTGGTTTCTGGAAAAATGTTCTTGGCTTAAAACCTACCATTCAAAACAGAAATGATTTTATGCTGGTTTTACTTTATAATTCTGAGTAGTTACTTGAAGATACAAAATTGGCATTTGTTTTCTTTCTAAGTATTCATCTAAAATACCCAGCCTAATAGGGTGAACAAGTGTTTAGACCTATTTGGAGAGTATACCTTGCCAACAATTAAGTAAAAGGGTCTACTCCCTGTCATTAACACTTGATGTAGGATATTAGTTCTTAGAAGCAATCTCTTGATAAAAGCAGTAGAGATATCAAGAACTAATTGACTGGTTTTAATTGAAGAACACTTATATTATAGAGCATATAATGGGAAGATGTGTTCAACTTGTTTGTGCCTTTCTAAAAAGCTGAAAACCGTCTTCCCAGTAGTAATTAAAAATAAACAGTGGTCATTAACTTACTGTGGATTCCTAATAGTCACAACATTGCTTTCTTGCATGAATGACTTACTGATCTAAAGCAAAGTAATTTGACACTGAAATTATCTTGAAAATTAAAAACTCTCTTGGATAACAAATAGTTTCAATTTCTGTGGTACCAATTTATATGTAGCTTTCCTTCTTTATGTATTCTCCTACACATACACAACTTCTTAACTAACAAAAATACTCTCACAGAGACTCTACCTGGAGGAACAGTACGATAAGCTATTTCTGAACTTTGTAGCCTTTGAGGCAATTTTTATTCATTTATTTATTCAGCCAACATTTATTGAAAAGCTTCTTTGGGCTAGGCATTTTCCTGAGTGCTTTAGGGAATAAAAGGACATCAAAAATCTCTGCCTCTTCTCCCTGCCCCCCCAAAAATATACTATTGTGGGGTCGAGATAATATTTTATTCCAGTTCTCTCTATTTTCTCTAATTGGTTATATCATAATTCATTTTATCAATCCTGCATTGTCGGATATTTAGGCAAATTCAAAATTTTTTTTGGTATAAAAATTCTGGGTTGAACACACCAATAACAAATATTTCTCTGTTTTTAAAATTATATCTTTGGATGAGTTTCTACAAATAGAGTAAGTCACAAGGCATAAACCTGGTTTTATAAAATTTGTCAAAAATATTCCCATAGTGGAAATACAGACAAAATAGTTATTTATTTTACATTGCCACCAGCTCTCCAAGAGAGAACCTCTTTTTACTGCATTTCCTTAAAAGCTTTAAGAATATAGAATGTCCTGCTAATGTGTTTCACTTATCATTGCTCTTTAGATAGTCTTCGACATTGTTAAAAAGTTTTATTTTTTAAGAATAAGGGCAGGACCAGCAATTGGCGTATTGGCTATGTCACTGGACTCCCACATGGTTGACCGCGGTTCAAATCCCAGACCCAGTGGCTTACACTCACTCTGGGTATGTGTGCATGCGTGCCCAAGATCCCTAGAGGAGAATGGAGGAGAAGGGATTGTGATGTGGCCATCTCTTTTAGGGGGTGATTTCTTGCTTTCTGTCTCTTTCTGTCTTTCTGGCGAGATCATGTGCCCTATAGCAAAAACCTCTCTAAAAAAGAAAAGAATAAGGGCTAATGGGATCAGCAGGTGGCAAGGGGGTTAATGTGTTGGATCCCATGCAGCAGCTCTCCACAGTTCGTGACCCAGACCCAGAAGCTTGAAAATCATGCTGACACATGTGCGTGTGTGCCCAAAATGCTAAGAAGGAAATGAAGAAGGGTTTCAGCATGACCATCCCCACTTGGGAGTTTCTCACTTTCACTCCCTCTCCGGTGCGAATATGTATCCTATGACCACCTTCCCAAAAAACTTAAAAACACAACAAACAAAACAAAAACCCAAAACAAACAAAAAAGAATAAATACTGAGCAAAAACTTTTAACTAATATTGGTAGTTTATATGACAAGATCATCTAGATTATTTTGTTTCCTTTCATTTTTGTACGCTGACTTTTGGAGTACTAAGGGAGTTATAAAGTATTTTCTTTTGGTTTCAGAAATTTATTTGACTCAAAAATAAAGATTGTAGCAGTCCATGAGTAAGTCAGAAGAGTTAAATATTGACATAAAAGCAAATGTCAAAACAAATAGGTTTGTATTTTGTTAAGGTTTATTGAATTTCCTAAGTACAGGTTTAGGATATTGTGAATTAAGTTGCAAAACACAGTTGCTAGTACATTTTATTTATATACTAAATTCCTACCTATATAATGTGAAAACAAAAAAATCTGTAGATTGATTTACAGAGACATAATAAGCTCTTTAAAAATGAAATTATGAAGTAGCTTCATGGTCAACATGTCTGTTACATCTTTATGACACCATTTTTATTTTTCCTGAGTTTGTATGCTCAGCTGTCTGATCGACTTTCTGCTGTCATTTCAATGGCTGCACTGTTTATTTCTAGAACAATGGGACACAAAAACCGTTATGTCAGAGTCCCCCGTGGTCACATCTGGGTTGAAGGTGATCATCACGGACACAGTTTTGACAGTAATTCTTTTGGGCCGGTAAGTCCTCTTTCCTGTTTTCGCTGATATAATGGAATTTCAAAATTGGGTACATAAGTCTGTGATATTAGCTACTCAAGTAATCCCAACAAGACTGATCATGAATTTCATAGTGGAATACTTGGTGTTTGAAAATTTCAATATTTTAAATACCAGAGATAATGGAAGGTCTGAAGGTGTATATGTGTGTAGTTATGTGTGTGTGTGCAGGTGGGCATAGGCATACTTTTAGCTGACTGGATGATCCCAGGTGGAAGATGTATTTCCCCCATAGGGATGCATTGTAGTTTGTTTTGAGTTAGTATTTAGTAGATAAAAGGTGGAAAAGAACTATAGGCATCAATGTTTTAAATTGTTATTTTAAAATGCGGTTGTAATGGAAATCATATTGGTAATCATAAAACAGACAAAACTTTACATCTACCCTTAGGATCCCAGCTGGTCCAGAGAATTAAATTAATATAAGACTAAAGAACAGGAGGAAAGCCTACAATTTAATATATTTTATATGGTACACTAGACCTCATAAAGAAATGAAGACCCAAAGAAGTAGCAAAACCTACATACATTTTTTTTATTAGATTATACAAAGGAAGGTGATTTTGGAAGAGTGATTATTTGATAAGGCTAAAGGAATTTAAGAATTCTCTTAACGCAGTCTAGTAGTACTGAATTCTTTCAGCAATGACTCCCCATCAAAGAACGTTTCTTTTCTCCTAGTATAAGGAAGGCATCTTTCCCATGAAAATATTTATCTCCTGTTTTCAGAAGGAAACGGGGAAGATTAGAACGTCCTTTTTGCATCTGCTGTTTTTCAAGTACTTTGAGCTGGAATTAAACCTTATGTCAAAGTGACTCTTTTGGGGTGACATATTTTGCCACCCTTCGTAAGTAACATTTTATAAACTTTTAATTTATAGCAGAAGTGTAGACATTCCTTATCTCATTTTTATGCTTCATGAAATATGTGGCTAAACTGAAATTATATGATTTTTTTTAAATGTGAATGCATAGAGAAATTCTCTGTTTATGAATCTTTTTTATTCTAAGTACAACTTTATTTTTTATTATTATTCATACATTAAATCACTATACATCATTTAGATCGCAAAGAGACTTTACCCAGCATGATATACACCTCAGTCCAGGTTAATTGTTAGTTGAGACTAGTATACACATCCTCGTCAACAGATAATAAACCTTGTCTGTGTCCCACAAGTGTTGTTATAGAAGCTGAATAATCTTTTAGTTAATGGAAACTGCACCTGATTTATAATGATCTAGTTTGTTTTAAATATATGTGGCTATTGAGCATCTTTAGATATGTTTGTGAAAAATGTGGTTGACCATGTCCATATTAAAATGTTAGTGACTTTAGTTGGGTTTTCACTGGTGTAGTGATTCTAAAATAAAGGGTTTGAAAGTGTGTTTTGTTATTAGTTATCAGATGTGTGGTAAATAATTGGTTACTAATAATAAAATACTGAAGTTTGGGATTGGTTTGTACTTTGTTTATTGATAAATTAAAAACAATGCAATATTATTTATGTAATTAGCATGATTCTGATTTATGCTCCATATGCTTTATTATCTGGGAGGAAAGGGATAATATGAGAACCAGGATACTGGGAATTACGCGTAACTCTCAGCATGTCATGGCTATTGTGTAACTCTTACCAGGCTGTCTTTCCTGTTGTGTACCAAACAGTGGTGTTCTGAATCATGTAACTATAATAAACCCATGAAATACCTTGAGTGGGGACCAGCAGATGGCATTAATGGTTATGTCTCTGGTCTCTCAAGTTCTCAAATGCTATTTGGGTCCTGCACGTAGTGGCTTAAAACTCATGCCAGGTGTGTGTGCATGCATGCCCAAGATCCAGAGAGGAGAATGGAGAAGGGATTGTGGTGTTGTCAATTTCCCTGAGGAGTGATTTCTTGCTTTCTGTCTCTCTGCCTGGCCAGCAAGTGCTTACCTCCTATAGCAAAAGCCTCTAAAAACAAAATGAAACAAAACAAAACAAAAATTAAATACCTTGAGTGAAAGAAAGTATCATTGTATTTATTGCAATAAGAAACTGTGGCATGTGAAACATTGACAAAAGTATGTGTTACCTAACTGCATTTGGTTTAAATTATGTTTTTAAAATAAAATCTATTTGTAAATTATAACTTGAATCAGTAATTTGAAGCAGAGGCCCAAAACTCCTTTGATATTTAGTGATTATGTTCTCCCATTTTTATTCAGTAGAAAAATACATATTTACAGAGTGAGTTTTAATTCATGGGTTGCACTAAGTCATCAATATCCATTTAGTTAAGCAGTGTTGTTTTTATTTGCCAAAATTAGATGAAGTACATTTCCTAGGATGAAGGAGAACATTTGTCACATTATGTATTAACCTATTTGTATTTCATGCATTATAATAAATATATTTTTACTTTTAGGATTAGTTCTCATGTTTTGTGTTCTATTTGTGACTTGGAAAACTTATTCACAGGAGTGATCCCAAACAAGCTTTAAGAAGAT